ATGAAATAATATCGTGAAAGGTGGGTGAATGCTTATATATTATCAAAGCAATATTAATTTGGCCAAGGTAAACAAGAGCGTAATTAATATTCTTAATTGTAACTCACGCTAGGAGAGTCATGATAACACGTAGTTTATCGATTAGATCACCGTATTTGTAAATGCTTTAACCCTACTGTGCACGAGGCCTTTCGTTCATTACCACATACGCTCCTACGTGTAATGTAATCAGTTAAATAACTGGTCCTTTAATATTATATGTATATCACTTCACAAAACCACGTCACGATTTACTCATATAATAAGATTTTAAAAGGTAATAAGTAGCTTCAAGTCACTTTCTATCAAGTATTTGCTTTTATATAAATTTTGTAAAGAAATTCCCATGAGATAATTTTCGCGAATAAGTGTGAAGTTTGAAATCTGCCAAGTCAGTACTATGCGATCGATTAATACCACCACATGAAGAGAGTCAAACGTCAAGTGATATAATTTGCTATAATCTGAAGATTAATACCACCACATGAAGAAGAGAGTCAAACGTCAAGTGATATAATTTGCTATAATCTGAAGATTAATACCACCACATGAAGAAGAGAGTCAAACGTCAAGTGATATAATTTTCAATAATCTGAAGATTAATACCACCACATGAAGAAGAGAGTCAAACGTCAAGTGATATAATTTTCTATAATCTGAATTCAGGAAGATATTATTTTATGTTTCTAAATCCACCGATACTCCGGAAGTTTATTTTCATAATAATTTAAGCCTTATTGCTTGTGTAAATTATAATAGCATTCAAGTATGGCTCAGTGGTAGACACCTATCGGCAACAACGGTAACTACGAAGTGTAAATAAGTTCTGTCACTCCATTACATAAAACAATTTGACGCATAAGTGATCACCACTTGTACAGCGCCTGATGCTGTGAAAGACACTTTGATAAGTTGCATTTCGTTTACTGTTACATTTATAAGTGTTTCATGAAACACAAAATCCTACATACCCTACTGTCTGGAGGTTTCATGAAACACAAAATCCTACATGCCCTACTGTCTGGATGTTTCATGAAACACAAAATCCTACATGCCCTACTGTCTGGATGTTTCATGAAACACAAAATGCTACATGCCCTCGAGTAACAACGATCCAACTATTTTATACGTTCTTAAAATTACCTAAAACATAATTTTTGTGAATCGTAAATATCACAATCCTTAAAGTGGCAAGTTAAGAATATTTAAGTTAAGAGTGTTCAAGTTTAATATTTTATCGAAACTTCTACATCAGCTGGCTCGAGGCTTAGTATTGTTTGAAAAATGTAGGTAGCTGAACCTTCCATAACTAGCAGTACTATAACAATAATTTATGTTCTTCACATTTTTCGCTTAAGTAGCTTCACTAACACTTATCATGTAGGCATTGTTTAAATACACAATGATATTAGAAAAGCGGGAAACTAAGAATAACAATCGTTCTTTTTTTGTTTTTGTTTCAGTGTTTGCCGAGCATTATGATCCAGCAGAAGATGAAGATGATGACAGTTTAAAGGCAAATTATTTTGTTTCGAATTTTTTCAAAAGATCACTAGTCACTTTTACTGTAATAAAAGAAATTGCAAACTATAGAAAACAAAATAAAAAGGAAATAATATGAATTTTTTCGATATCAGTTATTATATTGGAAAAAAAAATCTATGTTTGGGCAAAGAAAATCCCGTTATTACTTGTGGCATGTTAAGTGTTAATATGAAGTTTTTGGATCTGTATAACATATTTAAGTGTTAATTTGTATGTTTTTGGTATCTGTATAATATATTTAAGTGTTAATATGAAGTTTTTGGTATCTGTATAACATATTTACTGAGATATTCTAAGACTATATATATATATTTGTGAATTATACCCTTAAAGTTCGTTTCGCATAGAGAATATTATAATTTTTTCTACAATGGTATTTTATAGCTCTCCTTTCGAATAGAGAATATTAGACTTTTTCGACAATAATATTTTATAACTCAAATAAGATATATTTGAATTTGTAGGAATCAAGAGTTTCAAATAACTATTTACTAAGTAAACTTGACAAATAAACTCACTTTAGCGAGAAATACATTAGATTGAAAATGCTATAGTGGCAAAGAAAACAATAAAAAAAACCTATAGCCAACTTAAAAAATTCTACATTTTAAGATGGGCGGTCGTTTTTTCATCAAACGACCTAAGAAGATATTAAGAAAATGAGGGTAGAATGAATTAATAGAGGTGTAGCATGTAAGTAGAAATTGATAAAACTCTGTTAAATGTCACATATTTGAATGTACGAGTTTTTATCTGAGAGAGGAAGTAGTAAAGTAGAAATACCGATAAACAAGTCCGTGTGACAATGAAAAAACAACAACTACAAGAAAAAACAGAAAATGAAGTTAAAAGTAGTATTTTGTGGAAACATTGGCGTTGCTTAAAAAAAATCAATCCATTAATCAGCTTGGACTAACATACTTTTGGTGTGAACGTGCTTTGTGGTCACTATGATATAGGTCCAACTTATGTCTCTTTGGTTAACTTGTGTTAAGGGTTACTGATGAGGAGTTTATTTATCATAGCTTGGACTGTTTTAAATATAAGTTTGGTTACACGACGCAGTAAGTCTAAAATATAACACTAAATTAGCATTAACTATCATACAGAAACTTACTCCAAACAGCTTACTTTACGATTAATTGAGGGTATACTCCTTTCAACACACAAGTTAACTTTAAACACAAATTAACATGGTAGCACTGTTTTAGTAGTACTTTAACGGATGAAGGATTGCTTTATTGAATCTACTTTGGAGTCACACTTCAGTGGACTTGTACTTATTAATGTGAAAGGATTATCAGAGCAGTAGTTCGATGAAAAATTTGAAATCATAAAGTGAATAATACCAAATAAACAATGAACGAATATTATGTTAAAGAATAAAGTAATTCACATTTGTGGTGTCGTTTTTTTTTTTTTTTAGTGAATAGTGTGAGAACAACTTTGGTAATAAATTCAATTTGTGGGATTTCTTGAATTTTTTTTTTATTGGCTAGAATATACTTACATTATACGTGATAGAATAGATAAAATAATCCATTCAGTGAGAGTACATAGTTAATAACAAATAAATGAAGAATACGTCTATTCAGTGTTATTTCAATTAGAGAAAGAATACTGGCGGATTTGTATTTCAATAAATACTGCGGAACATTACGTAATTAATAATAACTTAATGAACAGACGAAGTATGATTCTTTCGTTAGTGTGGTCAAGTTATTCTATAAGTTCGACTAAGACTCTTCGAGTATTCATAAATAAAATTGAAATTAGCATCTGAAAAATAATTTTTTATCGCGTATTTATCTAAAAAAAGAAAAACAAACAGAGAAAAAATTACCGAAAATTTCTATTAAATTATATACCGTAAAAAACTTATTAATATGTTGTAAGTCATTTACTTCAGGGCTTACAACCTAAATAAAAGCCTAAGGTCTGCTGGAGATGTTCGATTTTGTCGTAACTCATGAAAGATATATATATATGTGATTTTCTTTCAGGCTGTATATCCAAAGACAGACGAACAGCGACAGAGACTGGGAGAAGCTGTCGAAAACATCCTTTTATTCCGATCGTTAGATGAGGTAAATATTTTTCATTAATATTTATATATCGGTGAGGGTCGCAGGTTCGAATCCCCGTCTCACCAAACATGCTCCCCCTTTCAGCCGTGGGGGCGTTATAATGTTACGACCAATCCCACTATTCGTTGGTAAAAAAAGTAGCCCAAGAGTTGGCGGTGGGTGGTGATGACTAGCTGCCTTCCCTCTAGTCTTTCACTGCTAAATTAGGAACGGATAGCGAAGATAGCTCTCGTGTAGCTTTGTGCGAAATTCAAAACAAACAATTAACAAATTGGTAAATATAAGTTAGCTCAAGTTTGTGCAAAAATATTATTATACTATTGCGAATTGATTTGTAATTAGATTTGCCAAACTAGCATGGAACGTGGAAAGAAAACAGAACATTTGTAACATCAAAATGTAGTTACCATTTGTTTGGTTCTCCAACGAGAGTGTAAAATAACTTAGAACTGTCTAAAGTTTTTACAAAATTATATAGACCTGACTTTGAAGATATTAATAAGTAGAAATATGTTATTAATCGCGTTATAATAATTAATTTAAAAATCATTAAGCCAGAATTTTAGTTGATATTATATGTTATATTCCAAAAGATGTATACTTATTCTATGTATGGCATCCTGGCTTCTCATATCACATAAGGAAAGCTGTAACACTGGTTAATTCTTAATCTCCTGACAATTACATAGAGAACGATTGATCAATCAATTCTTTAACACTATAAAGAGAGCGCTCTAGTGGTAAAAAAAGAAAATTAAAAATGTTGAGATGAATTAAATTACCCCAATATAAATAGGGCTTGACATTCGAATTTTAGTTTGACTTAAGACTAGATCAATGGAAACATGCAATATTCCTCCAAGATCAATGTAACCGAGAGGCGTGGTCCAAACACGAGATAAATTAAATCATAAACTTACCTTCTCCTTATCTGATCTAGTAATTACATAAATTAGTGTACACAGCGTGTTCACAAGTAAATAGACACCACCTTTTCAGAAAAATGAATTTTTTTAGTCATATTTACATGAATTGATATATTTATAATTTAATTAATATCTAGTAGATCTTCCTTTCGCTTCGTGGAGTTCGTTGATCCTTTGGGGCATCATGAGAATCATCTCATCAATTTTAGATTGTGGGATTTTCGCCCACTCTTGCTTCAAAACTTGGAGTAGATCGCTCTTCGAAGTTGGTTTTTCCGGTTGTTTCTTG